TTTGCAGCACAGCAGCTCCAGCTGAATGAAACGGAGAAAAAAGTGGAGCAGGCAAACGAAAAAATTAAAGAGATAGACACCACAAGCAAGAAGTTGAAGAAAAGGATGGGAGTTTTACAGCTACAGATGGAAAAAGCTAACATGGTTCTCAGGTTTCAGGGGGTTCCTGAAACAGATCGAGAAGACTTGAAGAAGGTGCGTAGTGAAATTATCGCCCCAGTAGTAGGCTTAACAGCGGATGAATTTGTAAACAAAATGGAGGTAGCCTATAGGGCATACTCCAGTTACATTTAAAAAATAGCCTACTTGGAGAAATAGTGGTCAAGTTTGCAAGAAGACAAACTAGGGACACCATTTTAAAAGCAACTTCAGCAACTCCACTGAAAATGGGAAATGTAACCATCAAAACTTTAAAGGACATTCCATTTGAAATTAGACAAAAGAGGAAAAATTACAAGGACCTAATTTCTTTTCAAACAAATGGGATATCGTACAGATGGGCGATTCCGGAAGGTGTCATCTTTAAGATCAACGATAGAAGAGAGAAGATAGACTCCACTTTTAAAGCTAAAGAATTCTTGAGACGCCAGCTGGGGACAGAGGAAGATTCCAAAGAGGAAGAAACGAAGTCTAGTGACTCTGCTACCTCAGGAACGGAAGAGGACTCTGCGGCAGAAAAGGGTGCAGGACCTGCCAGAGTGGTATATGATTTCAGAGACAGAAAGCCGAAGTAAAGGCAGAAGGACTTGGAAAATGGCCTTTTGAAGCGAAGAATAAGAAGATGATCAGAGATTTCTCTCATGGCAACTAATAAAATAACATATAAACAGTGAACTGTTATAAGCAAGAACTCTACAAGTATATTGTGATATTAACACTAACAGTACTAAAATTTTTACTACAGTGAAAATATCTCCTCCTTTTGGGGTTTTAGTTTAGTGTGGTTTGCTTTTCTTTCTCCTTAGTTGTAGTCCCTTCCCTAATATTTCTTTGTAGTTTTTGTAGTTTTGCAAAATAAAAAATATCCCTCCGGGGATTTAAAAAAAGAAGAAGAAAGAAAATGTAATAAAAGATTTGCAGGAGATGGTGGTTTAATATAGTATTTCTTCCAGCGGTCTGATCTTATTATGTTTATGATAAATAGGTAAAGGAAGACCTTAGATTAATATTGTTTCTTCTGTATTTTTGCTATAGGAATACTAGTGGAAAAGAAATGTATTATGGGGATAACCCTAGAAAGGGGAGGAGGGGAGACAGATATTATTTCTTTTTAGGTTACATAAAGTTGGTTGTTTTATGGTTTGGTATTTCTATTTTGTTTTGTTTTTGTTTGTTTGTTGTGGTTGTTAGTCATGTTTCTTTTTCTTGTATTTTTGCTTTTTTTTCTTTTGTTGGTGTTTTTGGGGTTCTTTATGGATCGGGATGTTGGATGTAATGAATTTACATAGGTTCCATTGGGGTAATTATGGTTTCAATCGGCGTAATAATTGGTGGTTGTAATATGGTTAAAGTTAGTTATTAGAAAAATAGTTGTGATTGTGGTTATATTTATACTTTGAAATACTAGATAATGTTCAAATTTTTGGAAGAAGAATGAATTTCAATCTTTTGGCTTTTAAATGGTCTAAATAGAAAATAAGATATCTCTTACTTCAAATAATCATGATAGCTCCAGAGGCATGAAAACAACAAAAGTATTTAAGATTGATCTGGTCTTTGGGTTGATATTTTTGATAACATATAAGTCTCAATATGAGAGCAAGTGGAAAATACTTGAAATACGCGATCAGTAATATTTTTGGGTTAATACTATATTTGAGAAAATGTAAGTTTAAGGTATTATACCTTGTGTGATCCTTGTGATGTGCCTAACACTGTTTACTTTTATTATTATTATTTTTTCTTCTTTTCTTGAAAATTAATAAACAGATTGTTTTTTTTAAAAAAGGAGTCCTTTCAAGCCTTCACTATTTTCTGCCAGCAGTGTGTGTCACCTGCATATCTCAAATTGTTAATGTTCCACCAATTTTCACTTCACTTTAATCTTATCTAATCCAGTTTCTTCTGATATGTTCCGCATATAGATTAAAGAGACAGGGAGATAAAATAGATCCTTTGTAAACCATTCTGCTTCTCCATTTTCTGTCCAAACAGTAGCCTCTTATCCACAGCATAGGTTGCACATTAAAACAATCAGATGTTGTGGTACACCCATTTCTTTTTAAATCAACCATAGCTTTTCATGACCCACACAGTCAAAAGCTTTGCTGTAGTCTGGGGAGCACAAGCTGATTTTCTTATGAATGGACTGCATAGTGATCAGGAATGCTGGGTCTCAAGAGCACTTCCTTCTTCTGGCACTTGAGTGCTCTGATTTACCAAGCTAGAGTTTTGATAGTGGGGTTGTGTGATTTCTGTTGTTATGCACAGCAGGGCTCTGTGCCCCTGAGTGTGTGCAGTGCTACTTTCTTTCACTAAGGGAGATGAAAGTTCATGGCTTTAAAACTACAGGCATCTTTGTTACCTTTTCTCAAAGTTAAGCACTGTTTCTGAGGGCCAAAGTAGACATAATGGCATTCTCACACCCAACATGGGGACACCACCTCTATTTTAAAGCCTAAAGTGGGCAATTTAAAAATGTTAAAAGACCTGATCCTAATCTGGTTTGAAGTGCAGTGGGATGAGGAAACCCCCCTCCCCCATTTCCCAAGTGCTGAAACAGCTGCAGGAGGGGGGTGATGACTGCCTCTTCCCACAGTGCTGCGGGCTCAATGAGGATTGGGCCCTCACTGCATTTTTAAGTTGCCCATTGTAACAGGCTTTAAAATGGCAGTGGCAGCCCCATGTTTGAGATAAGGAAGCTTATGTCTCGTCTGACCCTAAGGAGAACACTTGTGGACCAGACCAAAGGACCACTTAAGCATTCTATTTTCAGGCATATGCTTCTAGGAAACCTAGAATCACAGAATGAAGGTAGCAGCTCTCTACTGGAGTTTCACACAGATCACCTGCTTCACCTGCTTAACTTGCAGTGTGGGAAAGAGCCATCACAGTCTTTAGGTGCTCTTGGTTATTGTAATTGTCGGGGAACACCTAAGATGAGGAAGACACGGACATGAAAGTGAGAAGTGAGTCATAATGATGGCACTGTAGGCTTACATTGGGAGATGTTGGCTAGGATCCCTGCTTGAGTGCTTCTGGGTGGGTGGTGGTGAAACTGCTGTCAAGTCACAGCCAACGTATGGCAACCCCTCAAGGGGTTTTCAAGACAGAGATGGTTTGCCATTGCCTGCCTCTGTGTAGGAACCATGGACTTCCTTAGTGGTCTCCCATCTAAGTACTAACCTACTTAGCTTCCAGGATGTGACAAGATCAGCCTAACCTGGGCCATCCTGGTCAGGTCACTGCCGGGTGACCGTGGGCCAGTTCCTACAACCTTTCAAAGATGACTGAGACCAAAACATACTCAGCATGCTACCAAGGAGCATTTTATATATGGCTGTTAGCAATAATAACAACAACAATCTACAGGGATAGATTTATCTTTTTGAAACTGGGGCCAAGCTCTAAGCAGACACATTAAGTTAGGCAGGAATTCGGTGAGATACTGAGAGGAAAATATGGTATGCAGACAATACAGCCAGACCAGGATTTAAGGCACATTTACTCCCACCTTTTCTCTTCATCTGCTATTATTGCTTTGTGTCCCTCTGTGTAGTTTGTTAAAGAAGTGCCAGCAGAAACAGGGCAGTCCTGAGTCAAGGGTGTGTTACAGTACATATGAGGGTTTTGATTTTTCAATGATGGTGTGGTCATGGGAGGTGGAAATGGAGAAAGGCATTTTTTTTAAAGGATGCTGTTCACTTCCTTACAATGGGTGAGAGTCCTTTTTTTGCCCGATTCACACGTTTCTGCAACTGGTGGATGAGGTTCAGGGCCAGTAAGTGAGTCACTGGTTTTCAGCTGCTTCCAGATATCAAGAACAGATAGGAAAGGATCTTTAGGTATCCCTTCTTCCTGTATTAACATAATATTTCAGAGCTTAGCCACGGATACTTGCTCTAGTCCTCCTTTGTGTTCTGCATTGTGTTTTATTTTGTGGCTGAATGTGGAGATTGCACTACTTCAGCAGTTGCAGTATTTGCAGCCTTGAGTGTCTCACCAAATCGGGATTTAGGGCACTCTGACTGGCCTGTCGTGTTAATGAGGATGAGCTGACCCACGTTGCTAAGGTTTACCTGAAGTGGGGGAAATTTTCCTGTTTTAAGAGACAACAGTGTGGCTTGTGAGGTCACATGCTGATACTACTATGGTCTGTTCCTTGCTATGCAAATCATGTTTATTTATTTAGAACATTTATTAGCCACCTTTCTACCATACGGAACTTACAATGTAAACAGAACAATAACCATAAAAATATCTAAAAAACCAGAATCCTGTATCTGATCCTGATCACTGTGCAGCTAAATGGTGGGTGGGGTTGAAATACAGTACAAATCACAGAGGCTAATCCATTCTTCATGATTTTAGGAGTAATTTACTATAAATGCAATATGTTTCTTTGGGCAGCAGAATAACTGAACATGGAACTAGAAACAACCTTGAATTTGGATTGAGTATCGTCGTTGCTTTAATGAGCTGTTGTAGAAGTCTAGTGTTAGTGGCAATGAGGGCAATCAACTTTCCACAGTGTTCTATTGAATGTGCCCCCCCCCCCAAATTATCCACAGAATTAGACTGATGGAGAAAGTGTTTCTCAGAATATACATTGTGTTAATACCTTCATATTCTCTTTGATTTCCTGATTTTTAGTTTCTGGATCATAGTAATAGTATTCCTCCTCCAAGGCTGAGATTCTTAACTTGCTTACAAATTGTCCTTCAAGCATTTCTTTCTAATAGGTACTATGGTGAGCTTTTGAGGCCCTGTTACTCTTTTCAAAGTTAAGCCCTAGCCTTGTCCTGGAAGGTAATTCTTTTTTCTTGGCTTCTGTCTTACAGTGGGAACACCCTACTATATGTCCCCAGAAAGAATTCATGAAAATGGCTATAACTTTAAATCGGATATCTGGTCTTTGGGGTGTTTATTATATGAGGTAAGCATATCTTGCTTTAATATTCATGTACAAGATGGAAATGAATGAAAAGGGAATGAATTAGACAAAAATATTTAATTGTATGTAGTTTTGATTATTAAGTTAATAGCAGAGTGTTCTAGGAGTGCATATATGAAAAGAATGTCTAGTTTTTAGGTGGCCAGGCAGTTCCCAGGATTTTTGTAGTCTTGAATCAGAGGTTCTTGGCAAAAGAAAGCAAAGATGAAGCCAAATTGGTTGAATGAGGTGGTGGAAAGTGCCGTCAAATTGCAGCCGACTTACGGCAAGAGACATTCAGATGTGGTTTGACGTTGGTTGCTTCTGCATAGCAACCCTGGACTTCCATGGTGGTCTCACAACCAACTACTAACAGGGGCCAAACCTGCTTAGCTTCTGAGATCTAATAGCTGTTGTTTAACTCTGGAATTCCGTACTTTGAGTGGCAGACTTTGACAATGTTGATAGCATTTAAATCTGAATCATTTAGTTCATAGTTTCAAACTGCTTTTAATAAAGCAAATAATATTTCATCAACAGCCTTTAGTTTGTTTCTTAGATTGTTTTTTTAAATTCTGTGTAAACAATGCAGCTGCTATCAGTATGATCTTCTTCGTGGTCTCTGTGCATCACACCCTTGGGAATACTGCGCCTGCGCTGAACCTTCTCGGTACCGGTAGCTAGCAAAAGGGATTTTCGCGCCTCTCCCAGGTCACGCGCCGGCTCCACTGCACATGACCAAGGAGGGGCACGCAGATCCCGCCAGTTCTTTTCTGACCGCCGCGCTGGTAGGACGCCTTCTGCCTCGGTCTGTTAAGTACCAAACTTTTTGCTAAACTTGCGTTTAGTTAGTTTCCTTTTCTTTATTTTTGTAGTTAGCATTTTTTCTTCGGTTTGTTTGTTTCTTGTTTTTACGTCTCCCCCCCGCTGGCCTATGGCCCCGCGGTGGGGTTGTTTCAAACGGTGTAAGACTTGCGGCCTTAAATTATCCCCCACCGACGGGCATTCGCTTTGCCTCGTCTGTTTAGGGGAGTCGCACTGTGTTTCTAAGTGCAGACATTGCCAGAAGTTTTCGAACCAGACTAGAAAAAACAGGGCAGCTCGTCTACACTTGGCCCTGATGGAGAAGGCACTATCTCCACAGTCCTCTTCACCGTTGGACACGTCCGGGCACGCCTCGATGTCCACCTTGGCTGCGGACACTTGTCCTCCCGTTCCGGGATCATCGACGTCGACGGTCGCAATCGATGCTTCGGCACCGAAACGATCGACGCCGATAAAGGACCACCCCGTACCTTCCAAGATCCGGAAGCAGGGGTCATCCGTTGCCGTACCTTCCAAGATCCGGAAGCAGGGGTCATCCGTTGCCGTACCTTCCAAGATCCGGAAGCAGGGGATATCTGATGCCGTACCTTCCAAGATCCAGAAGCAGGGCAAAGACTCACAGCAGTCGAAGAAACCTAAAACGGACAAGTCAAAAGTCCATAAGGTTTCGGCTAGTCAGGGTCGAGATCCCACGCAAGAACCTCACCCGATCGGTTCGGATCTCGACATCGACCTTACTCAACAGACAAATCAGTCGCAATCTGATATGTCGAGCCGTCAATCCTCTCATGCCTCCCCAGAACGTGGAGTCGAGGATCGGCACCGACCAACTTCTCCTCCCCTGACTTGGGATGAGAGGCAATGGCATTATTTGTACGGGAATCGATACCCATACCCTTGGGCACTCCCGATACCACCCCCACCTGAATGGGATCGTCAGTCGGTGTCATCCCGCATTTCGCGCTTTCAAGATCGACCATCGGTATCGAAGCAGTCGATACCGACGCATCCACCAGACCCGGTTGTGCCCCCGATTAACACACCGGCACCGTCTCAACCTGAATTACTCGAATCATCTCCAGAACCATCCAATGTATCCTCCGATTCAGATGGCTTTTCTGAACATATCGAGGATGTAGATGCACAGCCCACCTCGCAAGATGTGGAAGCGGATTTACCTATTTCTCCATCAGAGGATGTTAAGTCTTATGGAGATTTTATTCAACGCATGGCATTAGATCTATCTATGACTCCTACTCTCGTTGCCAGTTTTGTGGATGATAACGTTTTTGACATTATGCACTCTAACACTTCGCCCTCCGTGGCTCTACCAATGACAAAAGTTCTCTTGCAAACTACCAAGGACTTTTGGACTCGTCCAGCCTCCATTAATGTCTCTAATAAGCGTCTGGATCACATGTACAAGGTCCAGGAATCAGGGGCTGAGTTTTTATACACACATCCTAAGCCCAATTCTTTGGTCGTTTCCTCGTCCACGAAAGGAAAAGCGAGCCACTCTACTCCATCAGACAAAGAAGGAAAAAAGTTGGATTCGGTTGGTAGAAAATTCTACACTGTCGGTGCAATGGGCATTAAAACGGCGAACTATGCCGCCTGCATGGGCCGTTATCAATTCAATTTATGGAAGCGTTTGAATGATTTCCTCCCGCACGTGCCCAAAGAGTGCCAACCTCAGATTAAAAGGATTCAGAATGAAGGGATGGTCTTGGCTAGACACCAAATTAGTGCTGCCAAGCATTCCCTGGAATCCGCTAGTAAGACTCTAGCAACCTCTGTAGCGTTACGCAGACATGCCTGGCTCCGCTCTTCATCATTGCCATATGACACCAGATCCTCGGTGGAAGACCTTCCCTTTGAAGGTTCTGGATTGTTTAGCTCCACCACTGACACGGTTCTGCAGGAAATGGATAAGAGTATCAAGACGTCCAAGAGTTTGGGGATCTCCCCCACGACCAAATACTCGAAATCCAAGCAGTGGCCTAGGCAACCTTGGTCGACCAGGCAACCGTACAACAAATCACCTACGGATCAATGGCAAAGACCTCCCTCTCAGTCACGGTCTTTTCCCCCGAAAAATAAGGGACAATCGTCCGGTGCCTATAAGTCGAAATTCCCTAAGAATCCCAAACAGGGACTTTGACTTCAACCTTACTGCTCAGACTCGCCTTGCACCCTTCCTGCACGCATGGCTCGCCATTTCTACGGACAAATGGGTGCACTCTATAATAAGAGATGGCTATCTCATAGAGTTTTCTCTGACTCCCAAAATCTCCCGTTTTATCAGAACCCCGGCGTCTCCTGCCCTGCTACAGGAGGTACAATCGCTGACACAAAAAAACGCTATAGAGAAAGTCCCGATGGCGGATTGTTGCCGCGGGATTTATTCCAAATATTTCACGGTCCCCAAGAAGGACGGAGGACTTCGTCCAATCATGGACCTTCGTTTTCTCAATCGGTTCATCATTTACAGAAAGTTTCGCATGACCACGTTGCAAAGCATTTTACCACTCCTGTCTCCAGGGACTTGGATGGTCACTTTAGATCTCAAAGACGCTTATTTTCACGTCTCCATCCATCCTCGTCACAGAAAGTTCCTCAGATTCGCAGTCGGGGAGGACCATTACCAATTCAAAGCCCTTCCATTCGGGCTCTCTACCGCCCCCAGGGTTTTTACGAAGGTAATGGTGGTTGTCGTCGCTCATCTTCGCCTTCAGGGCATTCAGATCTTTCCGTATATAGACGACTGGTTGATGGTGGCAGATTCAAGAGAATGTCTCCTTCAGCACATCACCATCACATTGTCGGTCCTATCCTCCCTTGGAATTCTGGTGAATTTACAGAAATCCATGCTGCAACCTGCAACTCGCGTGCAGTTCATAGGAGCTGTCATAGACTCCCTAGCCACTCGGGCGTACCTTCCTCGCCAACGGGCAGATACCATTCGTCTGGAAATTCAACGTTTGTTCCAGTCCAACGTGACATCAGCGGTCCACATTCAGCGGATCTTGGGTCTCATGGCAGCCACCACTTCCGTGATCGAATATGCACGCCTTCGCATGCGCCCGTTGCAGCTGTGGTTTCTAAAGAAATTTCGCCCTTCCATCCATCCTCCGAGCCTTCAACTGGTAGTGCCTCCGCAGGTCCTCGTCTCCCTGCAGTGGTGGCTCGTGGACACCAATCTGTTGGCGGGTGCACCGTTCCAACCGATCGTTCCCGTAATGTCCATCACCACAGATGCCTCCCTGTGGGGTTGGGGTGCTCATACAGACGACACTTGTGTGGGTGCTCCATGGCAACCCCTTTGGAAGAGTCATCATATCAACTATCTGGAACTGCTGGCCGTAAAATTTGCCCTCAGATCCTTACTCAGACAGGTTGTAGGAAAAGCTGTGTTGATTTTTACGGACAACACAACTGCGATGGCTTATATCAATCGCCAGGGCGGGACCGTGTCCAGGTCCCTTTGCAGGCTAGCTATGGACATATGGGAAGAGTGCCTTCATTGGAACATCACTCTCCAAGCTGCCCATCTGCCAGGAACTTTGAACCAACAAGCGGATTTCCTGAGCAGAGGGGGAGCATCGGACCACGAATGGGAGTTGAACTCAAAGTATCTCCTTCCTCTTTTTCAACATCTGGGACATCCCCACATCGATGTTTTTGCAACTCGATTGAACAAGAAGTGTCCCAGGTTTTGCTCCAGAGCGGGGTTGGACCCTCTGTCAATGGGGGACGGTCTGTTGATGTCGTGGGCTCACGACTTTCTATACCTATTTCCTCCGATTCCGCTGCTCCACAGGGTGCTTGTGAAAATACAACAGGACAAGCCCCATTGTCTCCTGGTAGCCCCCTGGTGGCCTCGGCAGGTGTGGTTTCCGACACTGCTGCGGTTAGCCAAGGGATCCTTCGTACACTTCCCGCAGGAGTTGGATCTCCTCCAAGCTCAGGAAGGCCAGGTCCTTCACTACGATCCTCTGAGTCTCAAGTTGACTCTATGGGAAATACGCTTTCAGTGATGGATGACCGTATCAATGAGGTCCTGTTGAATTGTCGTAAACTGTCTACTAGGACGTCTTACGCAAAGAAGTGGGATTTATTCCTACAGTACTTGAGTTCTTCCAATTTACCTCCTCCGCCAGTGGATTTGAGGTCTATTT